ATTAAAGTGCTTCTTTACAAAGCTAGTAGTAAGCTTCTGGAACTTACCACCACAGGAGGTTGTGAAGGCAATGAGCATCAGCAAGTTTGAAAAAGGCAAGTTCTTGGTTGGCAGTTCCACAAATGGGCTCTAAAAACACTGAGCCTGATATATACCTACCATCCCTAATGTCAAAACTAAGCATGAGGGAAGAATACAAGGGAATAGATACATAAAGTGGCTAGGTTTACCTAAAGCCTCTAAATAGTATCCCTTAATGTCACTGTTGGACACCAAACCCTGCGTATGAAGGCCACTGGTATGACCCAAGAGAGTTTTTCTGATATTCTTAATTTCAGTTTTTTCTCCGATTTCTTCTGGTAAGCTCTGGAGAGTTAAAAAAAAAAAAAAAAAGAAAAAAAAAATCTCAAAACCAACCAAACAAACAAAAAAAAAGCCACAAACAAAAGAAACAACAAAAAACCCAACAAAAAACACACAAAAACTCAAACATCACAAATGCACAAAAAAGGTTACATCCCTGCTTCTTATCTGCTGTGAAAGCCACAGGTTTTGAGTAGTAGCAGACCTTCATTATAAATACTAAATTACAATATCATATATTAAGCAATAAATTAGTAATATATCTTTAAACAAAAATAAGGCTCAGACCCAGGAGGAAATATTTGAATTACTCCAGCTAGGGCGACCCCCACAAAGCCACAGATGATGTTCCACAGCAGGATCTGCTATTTCAGTGAAAATGTAGCCACCTGCTGAGGGACAAAAGCAACAAACATCAGCTCCTCAAACAGCAGAGCTGCAGAACAGCTTGAAGGGAAAGAAGGCTAGGCATACATTTTTACCATACCACGTCTCAAAAGACGGCAAGAGTTAGTTTACTGTTACACAGAGGGCAGTCTTAAAAAATATGAATGCAGAAGTCAGTATCTGCAAGGTATTCTCTGCCCTTCTCTTCTAGGATAAGTATTTATACATGAGATGGGCATATAACTGAGATGCTTTGAGGCTTCTGATAATACAGAACACCTTCTGCAAAAGAATAAGGTATGCTGGCAATGCTCCAAAGAAATTAATAATATAGCTCAACATAATTCTCATGTGGTCTCAGCTGCATAGCATATTCTTATCCACTTCACTCTTAACCATTAGCTTCCTCTCCAGTATTTGGTAACTTCTTGCTAGTCAGAAGGAAAGAATGTACACTTACGTACTTCATGAATGTATGTTGTGATACATTATATGTTAAATTACACATTTCAATTCTAAAGGGAATAAAAAAGTACAGTAACTATAGCAGATATTTAGATGACTCCCATTTGTTTGAGAGGTTAAATCGAGAGCTACAAAATCAGAATGCAGGAAGGTTTTAACAGTGTCCGGGCCCCACTAAACCTGCAAAATACTGAGCATTTTACATTTTAGGTAATGATACAAGAGGAGGGGTGTGCTCATAAATGAAATTTATAATTCATTATCACACCTTGATTTATCTCTGTATTAATACTAGACTACAAGCCACTCCAGGGCATAGAGAGATTCCTGAACATCCTTTCTTTCTCCTGGATGAGCTCTAGAAAGCTGATCTCGGCCATCAACACATCTCCAGTCTGCACAGCGCCGCCAAAATTTATGCCTGTCTGCCTATCAGTCAAAGAACAACTTGCCCATCTTCATTCACCTCTCTCCCTCTGTTACGCTGTTGAAGAGCTGTGTCCTCAGCATCAGGAGCTGAATTCCTATGTCCTGTTTAAGACCATCTTTTGTTAACTTACTTGGAAAGCATTCACAAGAGACACAAGAGCTGAAGAACAGCTATCTTGGTCATTCACATATGCCTATGGCAGTGTTAGGCAGCAGCAGAGAGGAGACACTTGAAGCCTGTGAGTAAGTAGAAAAGGGAACCCTTGGATGTGGAGGCATTTTATACTTGTTTTTCTGGAATTCTGCAAAGCTTCCATACATCAGCGTTTACAGTCACTGTGTTTGCTGGAGACCATGCTAACAGCTACGAGTCAGTCTTTTAACTGCAGCTCAAAAACAGCAATAGCTTTTTCAAAAAGATCAGTGTACCATTTTCATGATCCAATATGACTAGGAGATACATCATTCATTCATTCATCTTTTCTGTGATCTCTGCAACTCTTCAGGGGTTCAACTAAACGTACACACATACTTATATATAAAAAAGCATGCCACTTGTTTTCCCTAGTGTATCAAAAGAAATCATTTTCCTACTACTCATGGCAAATTACATCAATAATATTTTAGTATCTCTATCTAAGCAACTATATAGGCAGCAGGTTGAAGAATGTGACAGGACTGTTTCAGTTCCCAGTTTCTTATTGTATTGCATACAGCAGTGCTTCCCTGTTAAAAAATACTACTATAAAAGCACCAAAATTTTTATTTTCGTGACTTTCCTTTTAGTCGGGAGGCATACAGATGGACTCATTTTCTTCTACATAGAAGAAAGCTATAAAAAGCAAGCTAACCACGTCTGAAATTTCTGCATTTTCCTCTAGCTTTAACTAGAGTATGAATATTTTTAATGACAATAATTATGAATATTAGTAAGTCTATAGGTGATTAATATTTTTAATAAGTAAATAGTTAATAGATATATATTTACTTTATTGGCGGGACAATCCCTGCTCCAAAAAAGTTGATCACTAATTAACAAAGAGAAATCAACACTGAATTGAGCACCCTTCTGAGGACATACAATTGAAATATTTTGATTTTTTAGAAAATGTTTAAGAACTCTGGGGAAAAAAAAAAGTTAAGACAAAGACAGGCTATGTAGCAAATACAGTGGCACACATTCTCTTGTACGCAGGTCCCCCTGAAGAACAATCCCAGTGAAATGAGTATCATAACTAAAGACTCCTCATGCGCTGAAGATTCTACAGTTTTCCCACTCAAAACCGGGATTTTCAGATTAAAATGTGGTGTCACTCACAAGAAGGAAGGGGGGGGGGGGGAGGCTTGGTGCTTTCAGCCTGCAATCTTTGCAAAAATTCTACTGGCCTTTGCTATAAAACCACCACGAATAAAATTAGTTTTCTAAGAAGGCACACAAGGAAAACACAAGTGGGGTATAAGGCAGACTGGCATAACTGAGCACATCTCAGACATTGCATCATGGCTATCTGCAATGTACTTGGATCAGGACTGCTTCCTAAATGAACCTAAAATACTCTGAAGACATTGATTCCAGTGAACTAAATGAGGTTTCTGAAAAAGTGGTTAGCCAATACTACATTTGCTGGATCTATCCAGAATCTGGATCTATCCAGGTTGCGTATGAGAAACTTAAATTTCATTAGGAATTTACATTCTGTCAAGAAGCAACAATATCAACCTGTACCAGTTATAAATTCCACACCTCCAGCTTTTACACTTCCTAGCGCCTCCCTCTCAGCTGTAAAACTGGGCTTCAGCTCTTCAAAGCACAGTGTGTATTTGTAACAGCGGTGCTCGCACTGGTCATTCATCCTTGCCACCTACCGCATGATTTTAAAAAATTCTGAAAGCAAGTTATGCATCACGTGATTGAATGCATCTTTATAACTTAATTAACGTATCAGAATACTCTGAAACAAGAGAGAACCAAATCAATACGTTCCTAGAAAGTAGGGATGAAAGCTTACAGCTACAAGAGAACAAAACACTGAATCAAACTGGATGCTCTTCTTTCCTGCAGACAATGTTTTTAATGTTTAATATGTCCAAACCATAGCATGCAAAATTATCAAGATATAACAAACAATTTTCTCTTCAACCGTTCATTGTGGATGCTGCCTTGCTTCCTACTGAATCAGTATCAAAACTCTTCTCCGTTTCCACGACTGAAGGATCAGGTCCATCATTAGAAAGTCTGGCAGCATCCTAACAATTCCTTAAAATGTTATACAATCAAGATTCTGAATGTTTACATTAACGCTTATAAAGAGCACGCAAAAGCTCTCTATTTTTTCTAAATGAAAAGATTTGACAACACTTCAAAGCCTTCCAATATTCTCTCCTATCACTGAAAGTATAGCAGGTTGAAGAACAATGAAAAAGAGTGCACAGGGATAAGTGGGATTTCAACTTTGGAATTCCTCCGTCTCAACAGCCAGTGGTCACGTACCAACCGTCACCGTTACGCTTACTTTAGCATAACTTTTCTTTGAACTGTTCTAACTTCAGGTAACGGTCTGCGGCCACAAGACCACCACTACCTCCATCAGCTCCGCCGCGCGTGAATCGCCCAGCTGAGCGCCCGGGACCACGGTCGGTAGAGTAAGACCCCTCCGCGGGGGAAAGGCGACCGCACGGCCCCACCGCGCCGCGCCGCTCACCCCAGTGCCGACGGCAGCACCGCCACCAGGCCGCTCCCCGCGCAGAGCGGCACCCGCCGGGGCCGTCCCGCCGGCTGCCCCCCTCCTCAGCTCCCGCTGCGGAAGGCAGGACCGCAGCACCCCGCCGGATGGGCGCGGGGACGCGGCGCCGTCCGCCTTTCACAGCGACCACCCGCACCTCCCCGGCAGCCCCGCACCAGCGGCACCGTGCGGTGCGCCCCCGCCCCGCTCTCCGAGCAGCCTTCTCGAGGTGACGGAGGAGCGAAAGGGGCAGTACCGCAGCCGCTCCACCAGACCCGACTGGAGAGGTAGTGTCGCCCCCCGCCGTGGCACCCGCGGGCACCGCCGGCCGCCGCCAACCGGTCGGCGGCACCGAAGTTCCAACCGCGGCGCCAGTCCTGCCCGGGGACCAGGACAGGGAACGGCCGGGACCGCCACGCCGAAAAGCACGGTAAGGGGTGGCGGACGACCGCGCCCGCCCGCGATCCCAGCCCGCTGCGGCCCACCGCCGCCCAGCGCTGCCGCCCACCCTGGGCATCCTGCCCGCCCGCTTCTCCGCCTGCGCCGGTACCGCCGCCCGCAGCTTTGCCAGCCCCATCAGCCCAAGGTGTAACGGCCGCGCACGGAACCTTTCTCCCCGCGGACGGACCTTACCGGCCACGCTCGCCGCCCTCGCCCACCTGGGCGCACGCCGCTCCGTGCTGGGCTCCCGCTGCCAAACGCCGCCCTGCAGCCGGCATCACTGCTCCGCCTGCAGCCGCACCAGCCGCCGCGGCGCCCAGCAGCAGCACCCGCCCCTCGAGCGCGCAGCCCGTGCACCGGCAGGGTTCGCCCTCTCCGACTGACAAAGACTAGTAGCCAATCACCGCCCGCTCAGCACCGAGGAGGAGGGAAGGTGTGACGAGAGGAGACCAATGGGAGCTCGCCCCTGCGGCAGCGCTGTTTCCGGGAGGGGGCGCCGCGCTAGGCAGGGGGTGGCCGAGGGTGAGAGTCGTCTGAGTGAGCCCGGAGGGACGGCGGGTGGGGGTGAACGGGTCGCTGTGCTGAGCGGACTCGGGTCCGAGAGGGGCTGGGGCAGGGACTCGGACTCGGACTCGGACTCGGCCTCTCCGGGTCGCGCTCCAAGCCCCGGCGGTGGGTGCTGGCAGTGGTAACGCTTGCGGCTGAGCCGGTCTCGCACTGCCCCTGTTGCTCCGCTAAACGGGAGCGGGGCTGAGGGCCGGCCGGTCAGGTGGGAAAACGTGCATCGCCCTTCCCCCGCGTGCGCAGGAGCGTCGAACTTCACACTGAGGCGCTTTGTTTAAAGGAGAAATGAAACGAACGGAGGCGGAGAGGCGGTTCTTTTCCGGCCGGATCCCGCCTAGCTGAAGCCGTGTCCGCCGGCAGCATCCCCGCGACTGGGGCTCTCGCCGACCTTGGCGTCGCCGCGGCAGGAGGGGACCGCGTCCCGACCGGCTGCCGCGGTGCGGGGTGGGTGTGAGTGTGCCGCGCGGGAGCCGCGCGTATCCCCCTCCGCTCTGGCGGTGCGCTGTGACGGCTGCACCGAGTTCGCAAGGCCTCGGGACTGCGGCTTGGCCCGCTGGCTGTGCCCGGCCTGCCCGCACCCATGGTCCCCTTAGTGATCTGTAGCAGCAATTCCACCGGTGGACCAGGAGTCCATGGCTAACTTGTGTTTAAGGGTTATACGGATAGTTTTGCATCACTGTTACTCTTTGTGGAATGAGGTCCTTTGTACCCTCGCCACAGTGATGTAATGTAGAGGTGGGGTAGCAGAGGCTCTGGAGGAGTGAAGACCTAGCGTGCACCATAGAGGAGTATTGACAAGGGCGCAGTCTTGGTACTGGGGACCGAATGGTTATGTCTTACCCGTGGTCAGTTCAAGAAATTCAGGCCTGGAGATGGACAAAACTGGGTTTAGGGACAACAAAGAAATAGTATCTGACATAGCTGGAAGGTAACATACGTAGTAAGTTCAGCTGTAGAACTGGAACTGCAGACCAGTGAAGAAGCATACTAGCAAAGATTAAAAATGACTTCAAGTGGATCCTAGAGGAGGAAGAACAAATCATAAACATGACCATCATACTTCTCCTGGCCAGGGACTCCAAATGCTCACAAGCCACTGTTGTCACCCCCTCATTCTCCTAACCTAGAGTGAAACTGATCAGGCAGGGGATGGAGAGGAGCAGTTGTAAAGTGGATGTAACATCATGAGAAGGGTACAACAACAACTGCATTATCATCACTCTTTTTCTGTAATTAATGATTAATAGACTCTTAAGATTTCAGTAACAATAAATGTCTCTACCCTGTTTTCAGTCTCATTCTCTAAAAACCCAGGTGAATAATAGTTGGAAACATTTCAGAAAGATGTTTCTCTGCTGGGTTCTTTCCAGTGTTGGTGGTCTTCATCCAGTGTTTTGACATTTGCTTTTTAAGAAAAAAAATGCCAGTTTTGTACCAGTTTTGTAGTGTATCAACTGATTCAAAAGAGTGGTGAGGTGTCTTAATTCCTGATGGCTTACCATCATATTTCATGGCATTTTAGGAATGTTTCTAAAATGAAACGACCTCTCAATCTGGTCATAAGCAAATGTTTGTTAGGTCTTAATGAAGGAATTTATTGTTAATACTAATATTGGAAACGATGGACAGAAATACTTGTTCAGTTTATACCAGGTGCAGGTACCCTCATCTGTGCTGAGTTTAGAACTGCTACTGCTGATAAACAACCTGAAAGTCATGTCCTTTCACAGCAACCTCTTAATGCAAATTTTATTCTGGTGAGACTGATCCACTACAGCAGTAGATTTCTTTTCCTCCCATTCTTCAACTGTTCGCCTTTTTTTTTGGGTTGCAACGATGATACGTTTGTGTTTACTGTGTCCAGTGTGAACATTGAATACACCTGCTTTTGTTTGGAAGAAAATAACAAGAAATGCTTTAAATGCTTATGGGTTTAGACGCTGCAATAGCTAGGTCTGAGACGTCTTTCTTCTAGCAAATTGGTTTTATTAGTTCAGGAGCCACCTCAAGCCTTGAGAAAGTACTGTGTTAATAGTATTTTGTACTTACTAAAAAGCATGAGATATTTTACTCCATTAAAGCAGGAGGTATTTGTTAGTTTGGGTTTTTTAAACATTTTTTTTAACATTTGATGCCAGCCATATCTTTATCTTTGGGAAAAAAAAAACAAACAAACAAAAAAAACCAAATAACAACCAACAAACATGCTTTATTTACAGTTGGCAATTTTGCAAATGTTGCAGAACTAAAGCATTGCACAGGTATAAGTCTTACAGAGAAGGAGGAAATATGAAAAGTAATCCTTATAAGTGAAGCACTTCTAGAAACTAGAACATAACTGTCATTATTTTTGGTATTTTAAACTTTATATAAAAATGTAAACAGAAATTCATATAATTCAGATATCCTGTCTGAACATTAATTTCACGTTAAAAGAGTAGCCTTTAAGTTTCAACGGCAGCTTTTCACTAGCATGCACACAGCTCAGCAGGTAAGATGACTAAATCATTACTTGACAGGATAAACCTGCAGTTTAGCTACCAAAAAAAAAAAAAAAGAAGTAATATATCTTCGCACAATTAAAGATCTAAAGAGCTCTAAACAGCAATTGTCCCAAATGGAAAAGCAATCCTTCACATAACAGCTAAATATCCTGTTTATGAGACAGAACATCTCAGAGGGAGACTTGTTACAGGCATAGAAGCACCAAATAACTGTAACTGAAAAGCGTGCAGGAAAGAGCAGCACACCTGAAATATGATGCTGTTCATTAAAGTGCTTTATGGTACATGTAACATTTTCTGAATTTTAGCAGACCTCTTGGTACCTTGGGAAACAGTTGTGTGTTGGTTTTTTTATCCCAATAAAATTGCATAGATTGGTTTAGCCCGCAAAACTGTAATTTAGCCTTTGGTCCCATAAGGCAGAAGAGTTTGACAGTTCTTTCTGAAAAACGATATAGTGTAACAGTACTCTTGAAAAGTACCAACGGCGCACAGGAGCTGAACTACTCTTATTCATAGCAGAAACAGTGTAAGAAATATAATCCACATTCAGCTCTGTCAGCAGGAGGAGCAGATTTCTAGAGGTGACATAAATCAAGATTCACACATACTAAATCGTTGTTTTAGCTGTTAAGTCTGCCTACAAGGTGCAAACTGTGGTCTGGTATTGGAGACCTCGCCAGACAGAAGGGACTATGCTGAAATTCAACTACACAAAAAAGAAATAGAGCTGTTGTATACCCTTTGGTCTCTAACATCCGTTTTTTAAGAGAGGGTCTGTTTTTTACTAATACTGCATATGCTTTGAAAAATTACTCCATTTCCATCCTCTCAGAAAGTCTTTGTGGCCCCAGGTGGCTCCCCTATTAAAGAAAGTGGTTTAGGCTCCCACTTAAGTTTTTATGTGTTCTGTCCATGATTTCCTGTAGGCATTTTACTTTTTCATCTCTCTGCTGCTATTGTTTTATACATAAGAAATTATTTGGTTTGGAGAGAATCACCTCATGGGGAGTTAATGTTTTGCTAATGTAGGTAGCAGTATGTGGAGTCTTAGTATTATGTTTTGATATTAACTGTGCATCCAGCTGGAGACTCATTATACTAAACATCAGATCTTCAGATTTCCCATGCTTCATCGTGTCTTTTCTCCACTGATTCATCTGTCTTCCTTGTTTCTAATACCCTGCCTGCCTGGTTTGGGTTTTTTTTTGGATGCAAGCTCTACCTATAGACATACATAAATTGCATCATTACTTGCTACTGTTTTCTGATGCAAGTTATATCTTTGATTACTAGGAAATAACCAGGCACTAAGTAAGTGAGTCTATTGCAGACCAGCTTTCAAAGACAAGTAACTGCAGCACGGGTTTGATATCCAGGAGGAGTACCAGAAAACACAAAACCATTTGCGGGATGGTGATAGGCTGACAAATCATCCAGGTTATAAAATACTGTGGTTATATCCTACTGTGGATATACTACTGTGGTGGGTTGACCCCTGCCAGCTGCCAGATGCTCACCCAGTTTCTCTCTCTGAACACTTCAGCAGGACAAGGGGTGAGAATAAGATGGACAAGATTGAGGACTGAGATAAAGACAATTTAATAAGAAAAGCAAAGCTCAGATGTGAAGTAGAAGAGAGAATTGATTCACTACTTCCCATCAGCAGGCGATGTCCAGCTACTTCCTGGGAAGCAGGATTTCAATATACACAGTGATTGTATCAGAAAACATCCTTTGTAACCATGGATTTCACACACATGTGCACACACACACGTACACCCATACACATACCCGCACCGCCCCTTCTTTTTCCCTGCTTTTATTGCTGAACACAGCTTCACAGGGTATGGTATGCCCCTTTGATCAGTTGAAGTCGGCTGTCCCAACTGTGTATTGCCAGTTAGTGTTAGAAGGCAAATAATGTATTAACTGAGCCCTTCTGTGAGGCACAGTGTATCAGCAGATCGTTTACATCAAACTGTAAAATAACCTTTTGGTGAGAAACATTATTTCACTCCTCCCTTTGGTAGGGTATGAATATTTGATGCATAGATGCAGCACTGCCTTTACAGATCTGTGGGAGTAATATTTGATTATTCATTTTTAAACACATTATAATTTGCTAGTGTTATTCAGCCTCATTTGCTAACCCATTTGTTAATATTATGTAGATATATGTTTTGAGATGCAAATCACAGTTATGTGCTGGGTGCTGTATAGACAAGTAAGGAAACAAAGTTCTTGCCCCAAAGAGTTTGCTCACATTATCTCTTCCACAAGTGCATTGTGATCTGATTTCACACTGCAT